AGTCATATATTTATTTGATATTAAATATTTTGAAATTATTGATTAAAGATAATCATAAACTCATCCGTGATTACTTAAGAATTATTATTAGAATTATTTAATAATTTTCTTTATTTTTTTTATTTTTAAATGTTTCTTAAGATAAATATTATTTTAGGGAGAATTGAATAATAATTGTATAATGTTTTTGCCGAATGAATATAATATAGAAATTAATTAATATAATATAGATTTACTAAAAGGTTGCATTATTGGTAAGGTAATTTAAGAAAAAACTTATTAAGAAATGCAAGCCTCATAAACAAGTAAGATCCTAAAATATAGGATAAAAGATAGAGATATAATAAATAATTTTAGTCAATTATTATTTATGCTACAATTATAAATATTATTACAAAAGATTATTAGTTGAACGAAGGAATTATATAATTTTAATTGATTTTAGAGTTTGATATGAACATTGGACTAGGGTAATTGACAAATGAGTAATTAAATGTTAAAGCTTCAGCAAGTACTTTTCTGTACTGTATCTCCCATTTCTAATGTGGGAAATTCAATGCATGAAACAGCATCTTCAATTCTATCCTTTTATTCTCTTGTATTTAAGCTTCCAATTATACCTTTTTTAAACTAATCAAGTATATTCAATTGCCAAATTAGTTAACTAAATTAGTAGAAAGAGCTGTCAAAGATTAAAAAATAATAATTCAATTATACTTCTCGAAGAGAAGAAAAGATTTGACTTGTTATAGAAAAGCTTGTATTATATTTGGACTTTATTTAATCAAATGAAGCATCTTAATTTAAATTATCATTAATCAAATTATCTTAAAGCAACTTTAGCAACAAAAGGTTAAAATTGCTAATTTTTGGTGAACTATCCTTTGTTGCAATTTCATGAATTGTATTTCTAATTTCTTTTTTAGAAACAGCAGAGTTTAAATTCTATCATCACTTCATTATATATTTGCGGCTATTTAATTCTTATATTAAAGTTTTCCTTCAATATTTATTGCAAAGTTAAATATTCATTCAATCAGTCCTATATTAACTGTTTTTAACCAATAAGAATGTTAATAAATTACATTATCATAATTACAAGATGAATTTTATATTAATAAAAATGAATTTTAATGTTAATCACAGTATTAATTTATGAATACTGATGTAATTACAGAGAAGGATGAATTTTAGTCATTAAATAGAATTGCAATTCATTATTATCATTAGTTAATAATATTGCTATTTAGATGTTTCTAGTTCAAAAGGGTAGTAATCATTACAATGTTCAAACTTAAGTTAAAAAAATACTTGTTAAAATAAATCTTAATCTAAATGGTTAGGAGAGAATTTAGGAAATATTAGCGATTATATATTATCATAATTTTTGGTTTTGTGCATTTAATTGGGTGTAATCAATTAGGAGTTTATAAAAAATATGGCTATAAAGGAGGAGGAATTATTTTTGTATTGAATAAATTCTGAAATTTTAAAAAATTTTTTATTTATTGAATAATTAAAATGTGAAGATTCTAATTTAATATTTTGTAATTCATTTGTAACTATATATGATTAATATTGTATTTGAAAATCTAATAAATACTCAAAAAAAAAGATAAAAGATTAAAAATTATTTTCTAATTATTAATCCTTTTCTTCATCAATCATTATGAATTATAATTTATTCATGTCTTAAAAAGGATAATATAATTATTATAAATATAAATACAAGAACATATACAACCGGAATCAATTTTATGAAACTGATAGTAAAATATGCAGAAATGGTCAAAGTTAAGCAAAGAATTATGTATTGCTCTTATTAGTTAAATACCAAATTGGATGGTACACTTTTTAAAAAGAACCCGTTACATCTGAATAATTTAAATTTTTTGATCCAAACTTATGCAAATATGGTATTAATGTAACTGATGCCTGCTATTTCGATATTTCGAATAGAATTTATTAAATACCTACTTCAAAATAAAAGTTCAAAATGTAATTAAATTGGTGTCTCAAAAAAGTTTATACTATAGTAAAATGTGTAATAATTTTTGGAAAGTCTAACTAATTTAAGCATTGAATGTAAAATAAAACATAAAAATGCTTGTTCTTATTGGTATTGGAATGATAAAAATACAGGATGTGAACTAAGTATTGATTAATTTTTTGATGACTTAAATGGATGTAAATCTTAACTTGCTTAAGTATCTTGTTAAATTATCATTCAGTTAAACTTTATGTATTAAATAATGGATATTTTGTTAATGATTAGATAATAGATGTATAAATGATGATTATGACTGTGAAGAATCTTAATCAAAAAATTTATGTTTCCTATATAGAGCTAACTTATGTGTATTTCATTAAAATAAATGTTTTTCAATAAAGAATATTCAAAAATATGATTGTGAATAGTTGGAGTAAGAATAATTGAATTTTAGCAGTTAATTTTACCCTTATTGTTAGTATTTATAAAAAGAGTTTAAATGTATTAAATTGCATTTTCAACTATGATTGATAAATCTTTTTAATAATAAATATATTCTTAATCCAGATAAGTTATTTTTTAAGATTTTAAAAAATGTAATTACTTTAATTTTAGTTGGTTAAAGTTTTTTTGGAACCTTATATTTATTAACATGTGATTCCTACGATGCTATAGCATTACAATTCTATCATGTGAATAATTTCCTAATTGTAAATTTGCTAAGAAAATTAAAGGAGAATCCATTTTTTATGCAACATTTCTTTAATGTTAAAATTTATAAATCCTATAGTAAAGAAGATTAATACAGCTAGATAACATATAATTATTTACTAGAATGCACTCGATGATTTCTATTCTTATCTTTTTTGAAAATGTCCCACATCTTTTATAATAAATTAGTATTTCAATATTATTTAAATATTATTAAGATTAGCAAACTAACTTGAATCTTAAGGGGGAGCATAGCTTTAAAGGAATATTTATTATTTTTGTATCATATTTTAAATATTAGAAAGAAATAAAGCAACCTTATTCTTTAATAATATATGTCATTAGATGAGAAAGACTTGTATATAATTATAAAATCATTTTTCATGTATTTGGATTGATAATAAGTGTTAAACATATAAAAATAAACTTATTAATGTATTGTTAGATTAGAAATTGTAATTCATATTTAAAATCTGTAATTTAAATTGTGCTTGGATTTAAGATAATTCTTAATGTGTAGATCTTGAATATAAAAAAAGAATGTGATAATTTAAGATAATATAATACAGAATTCAAACTCTCATTTTTTAGATGTAATAGGTTAGTATTAAATAGGAATTAATGAATGAGTAATACAGAAATATTAAATTGTTATTGGAATGGCTCCACATGCTTGGAGGCTAATCTTGTGTTTAGATGATTTATATATAATTAATCCTTTATTATAA